CGAAACCAACATTGATCAAAGAGAAGGGCCATGCACCCCTCAACGGGATCTGAACCAGAATTACAAGTAGCCAGCAGAGGAGGTTGATGCTACTCCTACTGACATCTGGGAAAAACATCCAGGGACCCAAGTACGAGGACCCCCAACTTTGCTCCCTTCTCCAAAATTGGAGGAACACACTTAACCACTCTGGAGGAAAAGCCTCTGTCCGCCTCCCCAGCAACTGGAAACTGGATGTGGTAAGGACTTCCGAGCTCCAAAGTCTGGGGGGTAATATGCATTGGGGGGTCCTGAGAAATAGTGCTCTGGACACTGTGCAATAGGTGAACCAAGTTCCCTACATTTTTGAAAGCAAACCTGATTTATTCAACCTGAAGATCGGCAGGGATGGGCAGGATCCCCATTAGCTTCATTCATGATAGTCCATGAGTGGCGGTCCATAATAATAAGGTAATACTATCTGGTAGGCACCTAGATGGTCTTATGGAACACTCCATTTTGACAGAGTCTGTTGCAACCTGTAGTATTTATAGTGAAAGTGGTTGCTGGTGCAGAATTGAAAAAAGAAAGCATACCTGCCTGGGCAACACTCCCCACAGAGTGGGATCCTGTTTAAAATAAAGGGACCCTGGAAATAAAAGAGAATATGATTGAGGAAAATACCTCTTGTTAAAATCTAACAAATGTAGTCAAAATAGCTACAGGGCATAGTAAAAAACCCTCACAAGAGGAAACTGCCAGATTATGAGATAGGAAAGTATTAGTAGTAGTCCACATACCAGCCCAAACAATGTCTTCCAAAGGGAAATTCAACTGGGTGGCTAATGACGAATCTGGTGAGATACAACACGCAAAAGGTTCCTCTCACATAACAATAATCCATTATACGCCATGTGAATCAATTTACGAAGCCACCTCATTGGGGTAGTGGGAAGTAGAAGGATTCCGACGAATGAACTATCAATTCATACTACCTCAAAATGAATTAGTATGAGCCACATAACACAAAAGTGAAAAATGGCTGGCAAATGAATTGTAAGAGGAAATTTCCCATTCCCTAGCTGGCAGAGTCTTGGGAAGAAAAGACATATCAGGGTAAAGAAGGACAAATGTGGAATGATAAAGAGTCTAATGCACATGGATTGCAAACAACTCTGACTGATGACGTCCACAGCCAACAACAAAAAATACAATTTAAAAGAAAGGTGCAACAAAGAACATGAAGCTAAGGGCTCAAAGTGAAGATGAGACAGTGCATGAAAAACAACTGTAAAATCCCAATTCAGTAATAAAAAAGGCCGTTTGGGGTCGAAGAATACGAAAGGATTTGAGTAGACCGGATAGTACGGAGGATTCAAAAACCTTCTGGTATTTGAAATACAGAAAAATAGTGGATAAAGAAGTCTTATAATAAAGCCACCGTAGATGAAGCAAGACCCCTCTCAAATACCCAAGTCATAAAACGGGATATGGTTGATACTTTAGGATGAAGAGGGTTTAAGTATTCCATTTCCAATGATAAACGGCCATTGTTGGCCTATGGAGAGATTTAGTTAAATACTGAGAAAACCTTAGAAGTTAAACCCTTATGATGGGCAAAGGACTACATAACTTCCAAGCATGAAGACTGAGTTTCCAAACATCTGGATGGAGAATATCTGAATATCTGGTTGTCTCAATAGAGACTGCCAATGTGGAAGAGGTAGAGGTGGACATTCCTGCAGATACTGAAGAAGCAGAAACCACATTTGAGCTGGCCAATATGGTACAACCAAGAGAATTTGACAGGGAGTGAAACAAACCATATTCAGAACCCAGGACATTTGCCAAATCTGGAGAAAGGCATACAGATGTAAACCTATCCAATCCTGACTGAACACATCTTCTACCAATGCTTGAGGATGAGGTATCAGAGACCAACACAACTGCAGTTGAGAATTCCAATGAGTAACAAAGGCATCAAGTGTCGGAGACCCGAACTGAGAGCAAATTCACTGAAAAACCTCATGATGTAGCATCCATTCAATTGGAAGAATCCAGTTGGTTGAGACAAGTGATCTGCAATTAAATTAATCACTCCTGGAATAAGACATGCTAAAAACTGATACAATGGGAATGAGCCCAGTGGTGAAGATCCAAGGTACGAAAACAAAGGTCTAGAGAATGTGTGCCTCCTTAACGAGAAGTCTGAGATACCACTGTGGAATTATCAGAATGTATCATGATAAGTTTTCTCTTCAAGAGAGATAGACCTTGACCAACTGCCCGGTGTACTGCAAGGAGTTTGAGTGGAGGGTGGACCCATCTTCTGTCCAAGTACCCTGAAACTCCTGACCTTGAAGATAAGCTCCACATTCCTGAAGAGGTGCATCTGTGAACAGAAGGATCTCGGGATGAGGCGGTGGAATGGATACCTCAATAGTAGTATTGTTCCGATCCAACCACCATTTGCAATCGACAATGTTGCTCCTGAATAATGAGACAGGATGATCCAAAGGATCAGAAAGCATGATCCATTGGTCATGCAGTGACCACTGAAGGGACTTCATATGTGCTTGTCCAAAAAGAATGAGAGGCTCGAGGGATGCCCACATCCCCAAAAGAGAGAGAACCATCCACACAGTAGGAGAAAGAGACATAAGTAAAAGCCTGAGCTCTTTCCATGGGTTGAAGCCTGATAGGGGTTGGTTGGGCACGACTTAAATGAGTGTTGAAAAACACACCCAGATAAACGAGATATAGCATCAGTGACAGAATAGATTTTTCCAGTCTGATAAGGAAGCCTGCTTTTGTGGCTTCTCAAAAAAGAATCTCTGAGAGTGTTATTCTGCTAACTGACGGAATGGTGCCAGAAGGAGCCAGTTGTCCATATAATGATGTTTTCATAGGCTTAAAGAATGTAGATGATGAGAAAAATCTCAAACAACTCTGCAGAAGACACAAGATTCTACACAAAACTAAAAGGTAGAGCCCTGAACAGCAGCACCTGACCCTTGTGCACAAATCTGAGAAACCTCCGAGAAGATTCTGCTATGGGAATATGGAAATAAATGTTGATAACATCGAACTTGGTCATCCAGAGCCCTAGCTCAAAGTGCCATCATAGGTTGAGAAAAGATTCCTTTGTAAAGCAAGGAGGATCTAAAAATTGGTTGAGTTGAGACAAATCAACGATTAGATGCCAATCTCCTGTCTTCTCGGGTACAATGAATAAAGGGGAATAAAATCCTAGAAGAACAGGAGCAACCCTCTCTACTGCTCTTTTGACTAACAACTCTCTTATGACCAGGGCACGAAGTTCCACTCGCTGTGGATCTGTTGGAGGTGAAAAGGCAAGAGGTTGTGCAGATAATGGTGGATGTGATGTAAATTGAATGACCAGCCCTGAAGTCAGAACATGAAGAACCCATGGATCCCTGGTGACAGCATTCCAGATGTCCAGAAAGTGATGTAATCATGCTCCCACTGCTCCCCCCACCCACAGGATAGTCACCTCACTGACATTGCTGTTGACTGTCCATCCAAGCCGAAGATCCTCAAGAATACAGACAGACTATTATTGGAACCAATAGACCCGGGAACTGAAGGAGGTGGTTGGTAGACACTATGAGCCGACACTCCCAAATTAGCACCAGAAAGGCAAGAAGCCAACGACAATAAAGAAGAATGTAAATGAGCTGAATCAATTTGTGATTATAACATCTCTGGAACTCTAGCAAACAACATGGGATGGAGAAAATGAGCTTCCCGTAACTCCCAAAGGACAGAAGATGGTAAATAAACTCTACCCAACAACAAACCAGCCAGGAAACCAGAGAAAGGACTGAAGAAGACAATCTCACTGAGGTAGATGTCAGCAAAATCCCCAACTCATCCTCAACTTGCTGAAGGGAGCATTGATAGACTTCCGAGAAAAGTTGGATCAAAGATAAATACCTCAGGACAGTCGTGAGAGAAAGATGAATCTGAGAAAACTGTGATCTGTTTAAAGTGATCACAGGTTCCATACAAAAGGGGGGTCCATCCATTGAAAATCAAAATATACCTCCTCCTGGTGGTGATAAGCCAAAGTACGATGTTCCGATAAACGTGGAGGACAAGGCATAGCTATCCGGTTGCATAACTAAACGGCAAATCTCCTAGCATGAACAACAATATCAGGAGAAGGAGGAAAAACCAAGTAGTCACTTGCCATCTTCTCTGCCAACAAGAAAGGAGTCAAAATCTCACAAACCCAAGTAACCAACTCAAGAAAAGGGGCTGGAGGTGGCTGATCAAGATGATCCTCTGTTGAGGCCGAACTAGTAAAAGAAGGAGGTGGAAAAAGCGAGTATAAATTCTCCCAAGTTGGTCCTGGTTCATTTGCAAAAGCTACCTCACAATCCCTCTGGAGAGACACCCTTGGTCGGCATATATGACTCCATCTCGCAACGGATCATATCACGTACAGCTTTGACTGTGATTGACCCCTGACCAATGACAAACACCAGATAGCAGAGGTGGAAGAGAAGAGGTCTGGTTGGCCTCCGTAGTAGAAACACTAACTCGGGAATTCATTCCCATCAGTAAGTTATTTTAAAAAGTAATCTATAAATATAAATGAAGATATAACCATAGTAATGCCCTCCATATTCAAAGTCACAACGTAAATTGTGAATAATCACAACACTTGTTTATAGAAACCTGTGTTGATTGCTTTATCGAGAAAAAGTGATTACATTATCTGAATGATGTGCTTAGATAGAGGGCACATTGAAGTTGGTGGAGAATATTGCAAATTAGAATTTGCCAAGGGCATTTGAGTGGGGTATAAAAGACTGGAGCAAGCATTTTCAATGCTTAGATGGATAAAGAGTGGAAACCCTGGAGATCGAGAAATAGCTATAGTGTCAGCAAAGGTAAGTATGTTTTGGAAACCACACGTTAGTATTAAAGCTAGGTGTTTTTTGTCCAACTCCAGTAGTTCCAAATATAAGTAACAACTGGTATAAAATACTGACCTTTGCTGTCTGTATCTACCATAGAATCTTCTAAGGATGCCATTAAGTTCTCCTCGATCAAGCATGACACAAGACGTTGTGTGAGCGCTCCAAATGGAGAAGTGTCATCTGACTCGCTAATATATTTCAACAATAAGAAGCTAGCTAATGTTCTTTAATTTCATCTTCAGATATCATAAAAAAATTAAACCTAATATCTTATTATTAGCTAACTCTATCCAAATAACACAATAGCCATTTCACTCACACTTCTAACACTTTCAATGCTGGTGGAGAATACATGTTTTAAAGTACATCAATTCAATGCAAAAGTTTTTTTAAGATAACAAACAGAAACTACTAAGTAAGATTGCATGAAATTTAGTAAAAACTTCAGTAAGTATCAGTAATCTGAACAAAAACAATACATAATTCGTTTTAGTATCTATATAAATTTTAGCTTCTGAAATATATCTACACTTGTTGCAAAGTGCTCTTTTCATAAAAAATAAAAACAAATCCCTATGTGTTAAGTTCCATGCTTTTGTATGTTATTAGCCCAAAATCTTGTAAATATATCCAATTAAGTTTGTTGATAAAAATACGAATTTTTGTTCATTTTTATTCTATTATCATAAGATAAATTTTAATTTATTGATCAGAAAGTTTAACTTGATGTATTAATTAACTTTTATTGTATTCTTTAACATATTTCTCTTTGGCCTTTTTTTCCTCCACTGAAGTAGTTATGTAACCCACTAAAAAATATTCATTGATGGGCTACAATCACATGCCACTACATAAACTTTTAGGCCAATGTACTTACTTATCTCAAATATTCATAACTAAGTCCTTGTTACAAAATATATTCTATCTTTCAAACAAATATACCACAAACTAAGTGTCAGCAACAAGAAAAATACCACAAACAGAACAATAATAAAAAATGTCATGCCTATTAGTTATTAGGATTTATTTCTAAACACACTGTATTCAATCTCCAAGAGAAAGGACAAAAGGAAATAAATAAGACATGGGATATTGTCGAGAATGAAGTACTGATTGTTTAGATCATTCTGCAGTACAGTTCTTCCTTCGTACAACATTTCATTAGCTTGAAAGCATATATTTCAATAGTTGAGATACACTTGTCAAACCCTCCTTTGGAGATATAAATAACTCATAACTCAACTTATAACGCCCCTGGAAGATTTAAACTATAATGTTTTTTTTTGTAATTCTACAGAGTTTACTGGAATAAATAAATGTAAGCCCTAGCAATTATCAGAAAAAAAATGCACAGATAGAGTTCAGATGTCTATCAACACTACAAAAACAAAAGTTTAGACATTAAAAAATATTAATAAATTAATTATCCATTTTAAAACTAAAAGTGTCCTATCTTTAACACCAAACACTAGTTCTGAAATTACTTATAAACTCTTAACACAGACTACGTGTTAAGATATGCACACGTATCTTGTATTATGCATTGGTAAAAGCAGCACTGAAGAGGAAAATACTTACTACTCTTTATCCACTTTCTTTAGTATCTTTTCTGCATCTGTGGAATTGAGTGAGCTATTGTTGCTGAGTCCACGGCGCTTGTCATTAGTTTTAGCTCCTAAATAAACAGAATTAATGTATATCAGGTTTTTGTATACGTAATATACATAATGTATGACTCACACAGTTACATAAACATTACTTCTAATAATAACTAAATTTAACATTCATGCTCTACTTATACTAAAACAGTCACGTATATCTAACAATACATATTGCTAACTCTAACAAAGGGAAGTTGTTAGTTGTTAAAAGAGACAGCAAACTTCTTAATCTGAAAATTTTGACAGTTCAACATCAATTTAATATTAATTAATATATATATATATATTAATTAATATATATATAAAAAAAACTTTTCACATTTTTTATCAAATTAAACAAAAATTGTGAATATTTTTTGGCTATAATACTACAATGTCCATAAATAGTTGAACACATTTTTAAATCTAATAGCTTTTAAGTAAAGAAAAAACGATATAAATATCCAGCAGAGTACAGTTTTGGCCTTAAAAAGATCCAATGTTTTGTTAGTAGATAGTCCCAAAACTATGGCTGTTTAGCAAAAAACACGAATGTTCTATACAAACTCAAGTTTTAATATGTTTGTTATAAATAACAAGGCAACAAATAATGCAATTATGTAATGCCATAAGCAGGTCAAGGGACACAGGACATTTAATCTAAAGATGAACACCAGATAGATAACCTACAAAAGTGAAGACACTGTTCCTCAATAACTGAGTAACTGCATTTACATACTTAGACATGACTGAGAACTTTTTCTTTCCACAATTTAACACTATGTTGTAACTGACAAGTGTTTTTTCCAGCAAGTTAAAACATTGTACAAATTTATATACAAAATCACAATAAATATACCAAGAATCAACATAACTTATCAAACATCACACAAGTAGAAAATGCACTAAATGTTTGTGATGATAAAATATTGTTGGAAAAATTATTACATTTTATTTTAAGATATTAATTCTTTTGCAATGGGTACCCTTTTAAATTCCTTTCTACTCAAGTCACTGAGTTACATTCAAAATTTAATTAAACAACTTTCCTATCAATGTATGTCAATGAAATTAACATTACATTTTTTGAAGTTATCCAAGTTTTAATTCCTTTCTTTCAAACAAAACCTTTAAAAAAAAAACTTAAACTTCAGTTTTGTTGTCACGTAACTCACAAGCCATGAAATATTTCAACTTTCGCAGTCTCTATCTTGAATCGGATAACCCCAGTCCTATAGATGTATGTCTAGACAATAACTATGTTTATTTTCCCTATTGACACATATATTCCACAGTTTTTTGGCTGAGTTTCGTGGAAACTAGAGATAATTTTTTCCAAAACCTGACAGGTGTCACACCCACCTTCTATACATAGCCTTGATATTTATACGCTACATATACTTATTTAATGCATGTGTATATAATTATTAGAAAGAGGTCATTTTACAATTCAGTCCAAGAATAGTTATTTGGAAATTGGCACTTATGTATTGTTGCACATGTATCCTTCGCCTGTTAGACTCCTGCAAGTTGCAGGAGATTGTTGCGAGTGCATTAAAGTGTCATTATTTCTTATAAACATTTATTTTAACAAAGACATATCTACCAACAAACAATTATCAATTATGTAAATCAAGTTTTAAAAAAAATTATATTGAAAAATATTTATCTTAATTAAATTTCAAAGTTACAGGAAATGGCAAATTCTAAACAATCATTTGCTTTGTCATTAAATTTTTATTGTACTATCAAATTACAGTTTGCTGCAAAACTATTCAACCAGTGTGTAAATATTCCTCACCTTCCTTCTGTTCTTCAACCATATCTTCTTGAGCCCATTTCAGTGAGTAATGTTTCCCCAGAGTTGGAATTTTGTAATACTCTGCATCTTCTTCATGGGTCTTAATTAAATCTTCTAATACCTAATACAGAAATAACTTGTTACAACTAAAATTTACAATAACTCTTCATAAAGCTAACAAAAAACAGACACAAAATGACATCTTATAAAAGAAATTACAAAAGTTCTCTTACCTTGATATTATCTTGAGTCACTTCAGCACAATATGGCTCAATAGATGCCCAGAACCGATTTGGAGCATCATTTTTTGGAAGTCTTGACAATTCAACAGGAGAGTCACTGAACTCGTACTCTTGAAATTTGGCCTATAATGAAAATGAAGTTACCCCGTTAAATAACAAAATACACAAAAAATGTTATTTACTAAACACTGATCTGTAAAAGAAATAACAACAATTACGTGTTTCTTATAAAGAATTAAGAAATACAATTAACTAGTATTTTACATACTTTTTTTTTTCTTCTTAGTAACACCTCAAATAACAGAATAAATAAAAGACAAGCATCAAATAAATAAAATCATGTGAACAATTTGAATATAAAACTATTTGTTGATAAAATCAATTAAATAAATAAAATAACCTGAGATTGAAAGTTTTTTTTTGGTCTTCCTCCACCAGTGAGAGGATGAGCTTTCCCACTAGCATCTTTAAACCTTTTTGTAGGCTTTCCTTCATCAGGTCGGCTTCTCTTCCCAGTGCTTTCAGGTTGCTAAAAAAGCTTAATTTTAGAAATTGCATGCACAATAAATTTTAAACAAGTAATTTCTAAATATATGTACTAAATACATGATGCACTTACTATTTACAAATGTTCAAATTGTCTCAAATGCATTCATAAAAAATCTAAAATCTAATAAAAGGAAGATACAAAATATCATCCACGTCAAATGGACCAGCCTTACTTTTCTGCTTAGAAAATATATAACATTACTTACAGATATATGTATATTACAACATATGAAGGGACTTTTAAAATAGACATAATGCTGTCATCAGAGTTAAATAATACGTTAAACAACTGAAAAACTTAGATTTTTGTTTCATATGATAGAAAAAAAACTTAACACAATACAATTTACATAAATAAAAATATTTATTATACGCCAACATTAAACCTTTCCTTTACAGTGAAAAAAAAATTCCACATCATTAGGCAAGGAATTTTGTTTCCTCTTATTTTGGTCCCTGTGCAAGTCATTTGAGATACCTCTGTGTTAAGTATTTTTGCTGCTACTGGAGAAAGATAGTAAATCCAAGAAGTGAAGAATTGGGTAACGAAATATGTTACAATGCCATGGTTTTAGCAGACTTTTATTTCACTTTTTTTCAACCTCAACAGACATTTCAACTCTACTTACATTCCTCAAAATTTATGAAAATTCTGTCAAAATTTTGTGTTATGCCAATAACTTCCATTCAAGTAATGAAAGAAGTAGTCATTCTATGTCCATTTGTTCAATATTATTTTATATTTAGGGCAATTTTTATGTTTTATAATTTTTTTTTGTCAAAGATTTATGAAAATATATGAATTTCCCAGTTTGCCTCTGAAGAAGAAAGGTCCACCATTTGAAAGCACTCGGGTTATAGGGTTTTTATAATCTTGTATCAAGACTTTTAGAACCTATGTGTTTTTCTGACATCATGAATGTATGAATTTAATTATTTTTCTTCTCCAGTTTTTTAAGGCTGACCTGTTCATTTACCCTTTGACCACGCTCAACCTTTAAACCCCTTTCTGCACATGTCATGAGATTATACTGAGTTAAGCTCAAAATTTAATTAAACCACTTTACTATAAACATATTTTAATGAAATTACTATTATCAAGTCTGTTATAATTATGGGTTTTATATTATCTAAGTTTTATTCCTTTATTTTAAAAAGAAAAATCTGAAATAGCAATTAAAACTGCAATTTCTGCTGTCATGTGATACACTGTGGTTAAAATTCTTTGAAGTTTAATGGCATGTTTATAACCAATAGAAAGAGCATATTTCGCACTCTTCAGTTGTAGCCTGAAGAAACCTGTACCTGTGTATGGATCTGTAGTACGAAATAGAAAATAACCTTAGTTCATTGTTCTCTTGAGGGGTATGTAACGTTTGGCATTTCTTGCCTTATATATAAATATATATATATATATATATATTAGTTTGATAAACAGTTAGATTGCATTTAGGTTTTACATTCATATCGTATTTAATTATGTATTATTTGTGTTTCAAAATGCATATTTGAAATGTTTATGATTTCTATATGTTTAACTTGTTGTAGTTTGGTTGCCAAAATGTCTAAGCAAGATGGTGTCATTCGCAAGTGCAAGCCTAGGTGTTTTGAATTTGTGCATGAGAGTCGCCCTATAATAACAACAGAGCACTGTGGGGACATGTTGGCGGTGTTGGCAATATGAATAAAATACAAAGAATTGAAAAGGAAAATTAAAAATAAACTGCAAGTGAAAATATAAAAACGTGAAATTATGCATATGACAAAAAGATGTTTGAAATCTATTGTACAATAATCTAAAAGGTATGTACATACTTCCATTTCTTAATTTTAAACATTTCATTGCACTGTATATTGATGATGATATCTGGAGTTACTGATATAATAGAGAAAATTGGAAAACAAAATATAAACATTTACCTTAAAAACTTTTGATATTCATTTAGGAGGTTCTAGATGCAAATGAAATGTGAAAACTGTGAGATAAGAAAGTATTTTTATACTCAAAATGAAAATCACATTTAATGTGAACTATTCAGAGTTGAGTGCAAATAATTACATTAAATAATGAATTTTTTATTATAAATAGTATAAAAAAATCAAAATTAAATATTTTATTTTTCTAAAACTAAATAATCTTAGGACTGTTCAAGTCAAATTCAAAACTATTTCATCAACTAGTTTCATTTTTGTAAAGAACTTTGACGAGAATCACATACCTACTTACAAAAGAAGTAGGTCGTAGTCAAAGGATTAAAGACTGTTCAATATTATTTTTCACCTTTACTTCAGGTATTCTTTCTTATATGTTTATAGACATTCATACAGTTTGTGGGATGGAAAGCAAGAGGCAGAAAATCCAATTAAAAGAATGAAATGTATCACTGCACCAACTTTATCAGTCCACTTGGAGTAAAAACAGGGAACTTTTTTTTGGGAGTACTCTACAAACAAGTAAAAATTAGTTATATCTATTTTACTTTAAAGGTCTCCACTTTGCTATGCATTTCACAGGAATTTTTCTTATCAGAGTAACCCTTAAATACCCTTATATCATGTACCATGGGTTTGAAGGAAACAATAAAACTAAAGGTGTTTATTAAATTATTGTTAATTCTCATACTTGGATAATGATAGGAATGGTATTGAGGTGGGTTGTTATAAAATTTTTCTCAAATTTTGAAATAAAAGCACCAACAGTAAAATTACCAATTTTCCAGGAGTTTTCTTCTCTTGCCAACTTATGAGTACTTTCATCTCCTGGTCTAACTGCTTTTGTCGTTTAGTGACAGAGACTAACAATGTCTCAATTTCCAACTGTAGAGCATCAATATCTTCTAAACCAACACCAATTTCTTCTGTCCTTTGAAGTACTGTACAAAAAACAATTATTAAAATACTTACAAGTTATAAATATAACAAAAAATATTGGTTTAACATAATACTTTAAAATTTATTAAGAGTATTCATCACATTAATCCAGACCAGAAAACTATTTGGACCATATTTTCAAAAATAATATCATATAAATCTTCAGTAATATATCAATGAAGAAAGCAAAACAGGACATATACTCGTACGAGAAACAATTTTTATAAAACAATTCATATCAAGGAAGTTTTGTGACACTAAATAAACTTTAGCATAAAATTCAATGGTCTGAATAGTTTTTGGTTGTCACTCCTTGAATGTATTGAATAGGATATATATATATGTTATGTTTGTGTGTGTGTGTGTGTGTGTGTGTGTGTATATATATAACTAACATTTTCAAATCTGGATGTTAGATTTAAGAAATCTATTAACATTTTCTCATAATTGAAAATTAAAACATGTTTACTTCTACATCAAATAATAAATATGAAAAAGCCAAAAGAAAAAAACCAACAAAAAACTAAACACACACCAGCTGTAAAACGAGGGCAAACTCTTGTATGTTCAGTGGGGGTGAAATCTGGAAACTGAAGAGGACATTCTTTTGAATCTGTTGAGTCTTTTCCTTTTCCCTTGCCTTTCATGATCTAAATCATACGAGTATTTCTTCAGATGTTTCACTTAAAATCCTAAAGGTAGAAAATTATACATTAAAAGAACAAAATAATTAGTGACACTAAAGGTAGCATGTTTGGTTGTTTATTTGTAGTTAAGCACAAAGCTACATAATGGGCTATTTGTGCTCTGCCCACAAGGATATAAAAATTCAGTTTCTAGTGTTTTAAGTTCACATACATACTGCTGTGCCACTAAGGGGCAAAAGTAACATGTGATTCATAAAGAACTAAAATGAAAGTCAAAGTTAAAACTATGCTAAAATAGAAGTTAAAAACCTAAAAAGATGAAATTAAGAGAATTAAAAATAAGTTTACCTTTATTATTTTTGGTAACCAGATTTCCTAATTGTAAACTTTATCAAAAAACTTAACATAGGGACACAGAGGTCAAAGTGGCAGAAGCTGATATTACCATCTCACTCACCAAGTCCAACCAGCTAAAATACCAAAAACACACTAAATGTATCCCTTCATACTCCTTCAACAAACATGTAAAATATTTTAAAGCAGCTTAAATTACTCGGAGAAAATAATTTGCTCAACAAAAAGAACTACATCTAATGTAGAATTCCAAAGTATAAACATGTTACATTTATCGACACATTTTTCAGAAAAAGTAGGTTAATGATAAAACAAAACATAAACGTGATAACAGGAAGCATTTATTAAATGTTTCAGAATTGTCATAATTCCATCATCAGTAATCTAGAGGTACAAAACAAATAAACAATATTTGTAATTACAACAGAAATATATACATAAGAAATAAACAATACAATTATACAAATATAACATGAGAAAATGAAAATTGAGGCACAAGTGAAATAGATAAAATAAGTTTAATTACATTGAAGATTGTGTTATTTAGGGATGGAAGAAAAGTTTTTATGTATAATGTTTGTTTTATAAGACGTTCAGTATCATGTTTAGACGTTGAAAGAATTTTAAAATTTGAGAGAGAAATTGGATGTCCTGTTTCTGTATTGTGCTGATAGATAGCAGAGTTAGGAGGGTTTGTAACCTTTCTTATAAAAAAACCCTTCAAATTCTGTAAAGAACTTAAAATAAAATCTACGAAACTGATGATCTGGGAAACTATTCCGTAAGTTTACAACTATGACCTAAAATTAACTTTCAATGTTAACCTTTTTCTTACACTGAAAATGTACTTCTGATAGGTACTTACCTCCTTTTACATAAAGCTATCTTGATATTATTCTGCCCTCTAAGCACTGCTAAAAAATATTTACAATCAGTGCACCAGTCTATATACCCTATTGATTTTGTGCTATTTCTGAACATGTATGTATCATGTGACTAGACTACTCTCCACCAATAGTATTGTGCCACCTGTATTGGCTCATTAGCTTATTCTGCTATTCTCACTCAATCCTCACTTTCGAGAATTGGCAGGCTTCAAAATAAGGCATTAGCAGTGAGAAGGAAGGGTGGGAAGTGTGTGAAAGGAGGTGAGTATCTAGTGGGAATACATTTTCAGTGTAAGAAAAATGTTAACTTCTGATGCAGTCTTACTTCCTCTCCCACTTTTGGGAAACTCCACTACTTCTAGAACCAGTACGCTCTTCGCCCTGAAAGTAGGAAATTAATTTCGTATGGGTGGAAAAATGGATGTGCACAAGTGCAATTTGCTCTAAGAGTTGCAGTCCATTGTAAAATATAAACAGAATTAACTATGTGCATTCACAACCTCAACTAGACAGATGAGATTCCATAACTTGTCCTAGGCAGTATGAGGTTAAGGATGAAAAAATATTGTAATATCAACATAAGGCTAAGGCACGTGGACCATGTTATATGTACCCATCAACTCCAAATGTAAGTAAATAAAGTGTTATATGTCACGCAACCAGAACTACAAAGAGGAAGTGAGCTTTCAGCCTGAATCTGGACAAACTCTCAAAACAACAGCAGGAGTAAAAAGTACAACAAACCCAGCATTACGGAGTCATGGGACTGCCTCAACTCAACCGTAACTGGTATTACAAGCAGAAATCATAACACACTGAACTGTAAATGCAGGGAAAAGACACCTTGCATACAGAATTACAAGAAGGACATGGAACCTTCACTTAACCATAGGAGCAGTGTACAAAAACATCCTGTTGCCTGTATTACAAAGCAGATGAAGTCTCCCTAGCTCAACTGTAAGAGAAGGTAATGAACTTCCTGCAACCAGAATTAACAAGAAGAGAGGCCTCTACTGCACACAACCATAGGAACAGGGAGGTGTCATCCTGAACCTGTTATTACAAGGAGGATCCCACATAGGCTGGACCAGCTCCAACTTTTCTTTTTCAGTATTTTCCTTATGAAAGCTATCCACCTGGAAAAAAAACATCAAGGTGGGAAATCAACTTTGTTCTCTTCTCACTGAGTGAATAATCATGAGTATGTATGGTAAAGTATATTTCTAAACTCACTCAGGAGGAAACCTCCATGTTTCACCACCCCAGCAACTGGGAACTGGTAAGGACTCCCATGCTCTACTGGAAGATAAAAAGATGAAGTACAGGTGGTAGGGAGTCCAGAGGAACATAACATCAGAGAAAGTATAATGAGTGTCCACACTTCCCTATTGTGAAAAGTAGATTGACCCCAATATATTCAATCAAAGGGTTGGCAGGGATGGGCAGAAACCCCCTTCTGCTTCACTCATGAAGTCCATGAGTGATGGTCTACCACTGAGTGACATTTATATCTAGAAACACACACACACACACACACACACTATTGCGTATGCCACCAGTAGTCTTGAAGAAACACTCCATCTCTACAGTGAATGTTATAGCACAATCAGTAAATACTGCAGGCTTGAGGCAAAGAATACCTTACCAGGCAACGTTCATCACAGAGTGAGATACTGTTATCAGTGGTTAAAACTAGGGTTGCTGAAAATTAAAGCATATATGAAGTGATAAGACTTACCCCAGTCAAAGGTAAATGGATGTGTGTAGAATTGCCATGGAAGGGAGATGATATCCACCAGAGGAAGATACAGCTAGATCATAAAGATAATGAGAGACAAAGGTATTGGGAGTAGTCCATGTTCCAACCTGGATAATCTTCCTCCAGAAGATGGCTAAGGCAAGAAGCCAAATATATGGTGATATGAAAACATCATGAAGATGGAGACCTACCATGGATAAAAAAGAATATGCCAGCCTAACGAGTTGATGAACCCAACCAGTTAATGTGACATGGATAGATCATAGGAAATGGAAGGGTTCAAGGGAATAAAAGTCAGGACTTGAACCTCGAAAGGAAGTAGTACATACCATATAACATTGTAAAGAATGAACTAGACAAAGAAGCCAATCAGAATGGGAGTATCAGAGAGAGAAGGAAGTTAAGGAAATGGATGTGAAAGCCAAACAGCCTTCATGGGCAGCATAGGTCTGAGGGAAGAAGGACCAGTCAGGATATAGTATGACATAAGAAGAATGGTAGAGAAAGCAGGTAACTTGAAAGGCAGAAATATCTGATCAACGATATCCACCAATAAGGAGGAGAAGAAAATAAGTCTTGAGGAAGAAATGGTAGATGGAACATGAAGACAAAGGTTCATAGGGAGAATGGGAAAGGTATATAGGACCACTCTAAGATCCTAATGAGGCAGTTCAAAGGAACATGGAGGACACACAACTCAAAAAGAGTGGAGAAAGGAGGAAATGACAAGGGAAGATAAAACCTGGAGAAACAAAAGGTGTTCAATAAGACTGCCATATAACTAGACATGGTTAAAGTGGACAAGCCTTTGTCAAACAACCATTTGAAGAATAGGGAAAGAAATATTGTTACATGGACAAAGAAGAAGGTGAATTGGACTAGGAAAGATACAACATGTGGAGTCAATTTCTGGGCTGAGACAATGTACCTGACAAATGTCATGCTTAAAGACATTTTGGTGACATCTGGCTGAATAATGTCCAACCAAGGTCGACAGAATAGGAACCAAGATTGAAGTAAGAATAGGGAAGGTTGTACAAGTAAAGGTCAGAGCAATGTGAATGATGGTTTTTTAATAAATTTAAAAAAATTATTTGTCCATGAATATATTGAGTATTTGTTTTGAATAGTCTGTGTACAAAGTAATTTTCATGTTAAGATTAAAAAGACTTTTCCTCATCTGAAAAATCTCAAATTTCCTTTCTGCAATCCCTAAAACCTCCTAAGTACATTATAAACATTTTTTTCCAGTAAAAGTTTATATTTCATCTGTTATTTTCTCTACCCTAACTCAAAACGGGATCAGTCAATTTGACTGAACTCGTAACCACCAAAAAAAATTTAAATAAATCTAAATTACTCTTTTTCTCTTTCCATAATGATTTCAAATTGTAACATGAAACTACATTAGTTTATCCTAAGTAACTTTAAACTCTTAACAGTATATATCAATTTATAATTAAATTTTATTGCTTTATTGCCCTTTTGATTGCTCTACGAACTGTGTCTAACTACTAACCTAAAAAGATCCCTACTTTTTATATTTTAGTTACTTTTATAATAATAGATAGAGAATAAACAAGAAAAACAATAAATAAATTTCTTACCCAATCTTCTTTTTTTCTTGCTGTCAATTATACTTAAGCCTACATATTTTATACTAATGGTAGTAGTGCATTGAATAAATCTTATTTAATTAAATAATCCACCAAAGAACATAGACTAATAACATGCATGTTTGTAATATATTAATGAGTCCTAGTGCTATGTTGATCCATGCCAGACATGCATATTCAATTATTGGACATATGTATGTTTTGTAGATTTTGATTACCTTGTTGGCTGAAGTTCCATTGTATCTCTTTTTATATCTCTTTCCACAGCTGTGTTTCATCAGTAAAATGATCATAGAATGGTAGCTGCTAAAGCATGTACAAAAACTTTGCAAAAAAAAAAACAAGAGAAACATTTGATATTCAAGAAAAATATTTTTAAGGGGTGATAAGTGCTTAATACAAAAGACTATTCTTTTGGATAGACTAAACATTTTTTTTATGGAGTCAACAGTGCATTGTTTACAGGCAAAACTACTCAGAGATGTGCAGGATAAAGTTTTTTCTTCCATGAATTACATAAATGTTAAAAAACATATATATATTAGTTACAAAATATTTTTGAGTTGAAATTATTGATACAGTTAGAATTAATATGTAAAATTGGTTTAACAATTTATGGCTCCAGAATATGTAAAGTGATGAAAAAAAGAATTAATGTGGCAAAAGTGATGCTGAAAGTATATGAAAAGCAGAGGAAACCATCTTTAGGTATAATAAGTTAGAATTAAGTTATTATATTTTAAATCCTAAACCGTTCTACCTGAAAATTCATCATACACACAATGTAGTACAAAACCTGTAATAATCTGAACCTTAAAATTTTCTTACACTGAAAATTTATTTCCGATAAGTACTTATCTCCTCTCACCTAGAGCTATCTCCATCCTGGTCTGTCCTATAAACATTGCCAAAAGTGTGTACTAAAAGTGCACTAGTCTTTTATATCCTTCAATTTGTACCATTTTTCTTTTAAACATCTATTGATCATGTGATCATTCTCCACCAATCATGTTGTATCATCTATACTGGCACAGATAGCTCCCTCTACTATTCTAGAGCAAACCTCACATTTTCGAGAATTGGTAGTTACACATCAGATACACTGGCACATCAGTGGGAATGAAGGGTGGGAAGTGGGTGAAAGAAAGTAAGTACCTATTTGAAATACATTTTCAGGGTAAGAAAATGCTAACTTCTGAAATGGTCTTACCTCCTCTCACCCAGAACTAGAATCCTACACTGCATAGGTGAAGGTGCATAAGTAACCAAGGAATCAGAAAGTGACACCCTGTTTATGCAAAATCATGAAGGAAAAGCACATCTGAGGGGTATAGCACTACTTTTAGAACAGGCATGCTCCGTGTCCAGAAATCAAAAGCAGAACACCAATACAGGTGCAACTGAATTGGCCAGCATGATTGTATTATGTATGAAACAACTGACTCACATCAGAATAAAACAAAATGTGGTCCAACTGGGTAAAATCTACAGTGGAAATGCCTTGGATACAATGTGTCAAATGCAGTCCATTCAGGCATCTTGGGATTCGACAGATTATGTTATGTGCGGTTTATCCAAGCAGAATACATCCAGTGAAAGTACTTGTATAATATTGTGAAATCAACAAGAGTTGTCTGCCTGGGCACAAACATCTTGGAAAAGCTTATCGATATGACAGATCCTGCCAAGTAGGGTCCAACTGGGCAGAAACGTCTGGTGGTAGTGCCGTTCATGAGATATAGAATTAACAAGTGTGGTCTGCCCTTGCAAAACCAGGGGGAAGAGCCTTGGATACTTAAGTGCATTTCATCCAGGTATAAAACATCAAGGGGAAGCACCTTGAGATATGGTTAGTTGTGTTAAGTGCAGTCCACTGAGCAAAAACACATCCAGTGGAAGTGCCTTGCATAAGAAAATATTTGATCAACAAGTGCAGTCCACTGAGCAAAAACACATCCAAATGAAGCACCTTGGATCCTGAATAATTCGTTATTCTTCGGTACTATAATGAGTATGTACTCATGTGGATACTCACGATCTATAAATTTTAATTCGTGTTGGTAGTACAAAAACCCACTCAGGAGGAAACCTCCTCAGTCCACTACTCCAGTAACTAGGAACTGGAAGAGGTAAGGACTCACGTGCTCCACTAGAAGAGAAAGGGAGGAGATTTGCATTGGGGAGTACAGAGGGACAACACACTGGAGACAATGCAATGGATGTCTGTGTTATCCTATTTTGAAAAGCAGAAAGACCCATATTACAAGAATCATGAATCAGTAGGAATAGGCAGAAATCCCTATCTACTTTACTCATGAAGTCCACAAGTGACGGTACTTCACATAAAAAAACAAGGAACATTTGATAAAAAAAAACTATATATATACACATACCACTGGACAAGCTGCCAGTGGTCTTGCAGAAAAACCCCATCAGAACAGTGTGCATTATAAAAATATTGATAATTAGAGCTAATATAATATGAAACATACCTAACCAGGTGGGATCGTGAAATATGATGGAGTTTAGTGAAAATGATCTAAGAATTAATAATAATAATATGTCAACTTACCCTAGTCAAAGACAAATAGACATGTATAAAACTGCCTTAGGAGGAAGATGATACCCGCTTGAGGAAGGCAAGCCAGGTCCTGTAGTGAATGTGTGATAAACATATTAGGAGATGTACATGTATTGGATTGAACAATCTCCTCTAAAGGCCATCAGATTCTAGCTGCTAAAGACATAGATGATGAATTTGGTGCAAATAAACATTGAGCAGACAGCAATCCTCTATGGACAGCCAGAATATACAAGTCATACAAGTTGACAAAATTAACCAGTGAGGGTAACAGATGAAAGATCACATAAAACAGAGGGACACCATGAATAAACAAACAGGAACAAGAACCCTGAAAGGAGGCAGCACGATCCACACAACATAGCAGGGAATAATAATGGCTGGAGACGGCTTAAATGGGTAATGAAAAAAAAACTTTAATACAAGTTTAACATGACA